GCAATGGCGCGATCTCGGCTCACCGCAACCTCCGCCTCCTGGGTTCAGGCAATTCTCCTGCCTCAGCCTCCTGAGCAGCTGGGATTACAGGCACGCGCCACCACGCCCAGCTAATTTTTTGTATTTTTAGTAGAGACGGGGTTTCACCATGTTGACCAAGATGGTCTCGATCTCTTGACCTCGTGATCCACCCGCCTCGGCCTCCCAAAGTGCTGGGATTACAGGCTTGAGCCACCGCGCCCGGCCTTATTTTCCATTTTCAAATGATAGACATCATAGTACTTGTGATAACACAGTGTTGTTTTGATTTGCATTTCTCTAGTGACTAATGATGTTGAGCATCTTTTCATATGCCTGTTGGTCATTTGTATATCTGAATGTTTATTCATGTGTTTTCTGCATTTTTTAATTGGATGGTTTATATTTTTGTTGTTGAGTATAAGTTTTAAAAAAAATATATTCTGAATACTAAACATCATACTGTATGGTCTTTTCACTTAACAATGTTCTTTTATGGGTACAGTTTTTAATTTTACTGAAGTCAAATTTATGTATTTCTTCTTTTGTTGCTTGCACTTATAGGTCTATCTAAAAATTTATTGCCAAAAAAAATCAAGATTTACTTTTATGGTTTCTTCTAAGTGTTTTATACATTTTGCTCTTGTATTTAGGTTGTTCCATTTTAAGTTAATTTTTAAGCACAGAGTGAGGTGATGATCCAACTTCATCATGTTGCATGTGAATATCCAGTTTTCTTACCAACATTTGTTAAGGAGACTATAGTTTTCCCATTAAACAGTTTTGTATTTTTGTTGAAAATCAAGTGGCCTTAGATGTATGGATTTTCCTTATGGACTGTCAATTCTACCAGTCATGTGGCTTCCACTCAGAAGAGGTTCACACCCCTATGATTGCATCCCCAATCAATCAGCAGCACCCATTCCCTAGCCCCCTGCCCACCAAACTATCTTTTAAAAACCCCAGCCTCCATATTTTCAGGGAGGCTGACGTCAGTAACAGTAAAACTCTGTCAATGAAAAGACTCAAACTCTGTAAAACATTTGAAGAGATTATTCTGAGCCAAACGCAAGCATCCATGGCCCATGACACAGCCCTCAGAAGAGACCACCACATATGCCCAAGGTGGTTGGGCCACAGCTAGGCTAGCACATTTCAGTGGGACATAAGACATCAAGCAATATATTTAAGGTACACATTGGTTCAGTCCAGAAAGGCAGGACAACTGGAGGCAGTGGGGGCTGGGGGTAGAGGGTGGGGTGGGGGCATGGGGGTTGGGGGTGTGTGTGGGGCTTCTATGTTATAGGCAGATTCAAAGATTTTCTGGTTGTCAACTGGTTGAAAGAGTTTATCTAAAGACCTGGAATCAACAGAAAGGAAATGTCTGGGTTAAGATAAGAGATTTTGGAGAACAAGGTTCTTATTATGCAGATGAAGTTTCCAGGTATCAGGCTTCAGAGAGAAGAGATTGTAAATTTTTCTTACCAGACTTTAAAACGTGTCAGACTCTTGTTTGATTCTCTCCTGGATCAGGAAAAATGGTCTGGAAAAGGGAAAGGAGATTTACTACAAAGTGTAGATTTTTCTCCACAAATGACAACTTTTCAGGGCTATTTCATAATAGAGCAAAGAAACATATTTAGGGTTCAAATATTTTGATTTCTTTTATCAGTCATGAGATGTTATAACAGTCAGGTTGGAAAGTAAGTCACATTAAATAAGTTTAATTAAAACCCCTCTCATGAGACTTTATGATTTGGAGGGCTTGACTCCCCAAACCCTTAGATAGGAATTTGAGCATGAAAAGAAAAAAGGGCAGAGTTCAGTCTTCACTCTGGTCTCCCATTTAGCCAGCTCTATGTGTATTAAACTCTTTCTCTATTGCAATTCCTCTGTCTTGATAAATTGGTTCTATCTGAGCAGTGGGCAAGATGAGTCCATTGGGTGGTTACTTGTCTATCTTCCTTTTATTAGAGAGAGTATTTATCCAGGATTTGAAATTTTCACTGATGCAGGGCAGTTTCTTGACTTTCCTTAGGAAATAATTCAAGAGCAAGCCAGCAGTGGAAGAAACCAGTGTTAAAGCTCAGTGACTGCTCCTTGCAGACCAAGGCTAGTCCATAGGCAGTGTGTCCAGAGTAGCAGCGTATTGGCTGTTGGCTAGGTATACTTAAACTAACTTTCCATTACATGCAAATTAAGGGGTGAATTATCAGAAGTTTCTAGAAAAGGGGTTGGTAACTCCTAGGTGTTGCCATGGCATTTATAAACTGTCATGGTACTGGTGGGAGTGTCTTATACTGACAGGTAGCAAAGGGACGTAATGGAATGAGTACATTCTATGTTCTTATACTTTAACCAAGATATTAATTTTAGACATACTCAAGCACGTCACAACTCACAGCCTATGCCCCTTCCCTATTTGGAAATATTACTACTTCTCTAAGCCTTTTTGCAAGCAACTTCCTCTTTCTATTGCTCTCCCTTGCCTTTACCTATTTAGGAAAGTTTTAAGTTATTCGCCAGTCAGGTTCAGCTTAGATTGGGCCGTCCAGCTCTAGCCAATGAAGACAGGACACAGTAGCAGGGAGAAGCTGTGTAAGGGATAAAAATTGCTTCCCTCCTTTGTTCTGGTGTGCTCTCGCCATAGCTCCATCTGCCAGGCGCACCCTTTCTGCAGAAAGTAACATTGCCTTGCTAAAACTTTTTATCTGAATGGTGATTTTTCCTTGCAGCACAGAGGAATAAGCATTCTGTTTTCTGAATAAACATTTTACTTATAACAGGGGCTTACAGGTTGCTTTCCATCACTTATGAGTTTCAGCAGGTTTCTTATCTGGTTTTAGAATCAAGCCTTGCTGGTCTGTTGCCTCAGCCCAAATTGAACATTGTTCCAACGTTTACAGCTACTCTTATGTAGTCAGCTTAACACTTTTTTTTATCCTCTCATAACAAAACTGGAAAAATATTTAGTTTCTACCTAGGAGAAAAATGAATAGCATAGCTTTCTGTATTTTTTGCATTTCATATCTTAATCCGTCACTTCCCCTTCCTCTCCTTATTGAATATTCACAGATACCTTTGGCAAATCATAAGACACCTTTACAAATTCCTGATTCTGAGAGCAATAAGTGATGTGATTCCTTAATCCGAACTGAATTTTTTCAAGATTTTATATAGGTTAGAGCCTACTCAAAACTATAATACCTTCTTCAGTATCCTGTGAATGCAAGAAAACTAAGCACAAGAAAAGTGGAGAATTTTGCTGCTTTTGTTTCATGTCCTGCTGTAAAATTGCATCTCCTTTTTTGAGCATTTTTAATCACAGATGAATCCAGATCCATATAATAAAAAGTCTTGTTGCTCAGGGCAGCTCTGGCCACCTCTTTTATTACCTCTGTTTCTAGCTCGCACATAGCATTCCTTAATATTTTCCTTTTTTTCATATTTGCAACTCTGTCACATATAAAAGGGAACAATGGCAAAAAGAAAAAGTGTTAGGGTCCCAACAAGACAGGCCCACAGACCCCACCCCTCCCATGCATTTTCCCCTGTTAAACCAAGCTGATAACAGAAACAGCCTCAGGCATTGTAAACAGGGCACCTAGATTCCAAAATGTGGTCGCACCTGGCTATCGGACCCAGAATGTTGACTCAATTAACCAGGATGTCAGCCCCTGAGAACCAAGATGCGGTTTTTGTTAGAATAGCACCCGGCTACCTGCAAATCCCGGCTACCTGCAAATCCCCCAAAGTCTGTAAGACGGGCTGCTGCCTGCCTTCACTGCCTGTGGTGAGGCAGCCTTGCAGGTTGAATAAAACTTGCTAAACCTGGTCTTGGGTCTGTCTCTCCTTTCCTTCGGTCAACATTACAAAAAGCAGGCTGAGCTCTATAAACACTGACTTAGGCTTCACCGGCTAATTCGAAAGGAAAATTTCAGGCTGGCGGGAAGTTGAGCCCTACAGAGGATTCTGGGACGTGTAGTCCAGACTTTGGTAGGTACTTCCGCTCTGGGAAAGCGCGGCTTTGTTATTTGCTCCACTGGGGAAATAAGAACCCATAACCCACTGCTCAGTGGGTTCGGTAGTACTTTGGCTACCTGAGGACGAGAACACGAAGCCCGCTTCCCTCAGGGATTCTGGGAAATTCGACTCGGCCGTGGGAGTTGAAGCAGGTATTTCCGCCAGAGGGGCAGATCAGCGGCTTCCGTTCCTCTCGGGGATGCTGGGAAGTGTAGTTCTCGAACCCCCGCCCCCTGCCCCCCCACCGCTGTCCGAGGCACTTCCGCTGCAGGACTTTGAGAGCGTGGCCTTCATTCCTTTGGTGTAGGTGAGTGAGCCTTGGGACACCGCGACCTTTTTTAACTTTTGTGGTTTGGTCGTAGGATCAGCGGGGCTCGCGGGTCAGCGGGAAAAGAAGCTGCGGTCAGCAGTGGAGGGCGGAGTTGAATGGCAGGGCAGCTGTTTGCCTTCCTCTCTCTGGAGCCGCTGCGTTTGGGGCGGTTCGGGAGTCCTCAGGTTGGAGGCGACCTGGATCGGGCGGTGTCTGAGGGTCTCCTGGGCAATCTGCG